TCACTTGGCGCTGTGGATGAGAAGGGAGAGTTCAAGTCGCTAATTACCGTCGCTGGCTTCTTATAATTCACCGGGCGACGCTGCCGACTGACACTGTTCGACGCACGTCGGAAAACGTCAGGTACCGAATATTCCTACACACACACTAGTTAGTCTTGGGCTTTAAGTTATATTACCTTGTTAATTACTAGAATTGTTATTTTCCTGGCCAGTTTATTTATGTAACATTTTAAGAGTGCATGGCACTGATAAACGTGACAAGTAGGGTACGCCGTTCCTACCCTGGTCGTAGGGTAGTTACCGACTTTGCCGTGGTGTCTACAGTGCGAAATATCGTAACCCCCACCTCTTACCAACAACATAGTTGCGTTGGTGCGTGGTGAGGGCCGCGTGTAGTGCTGAACCTCTGCAAGGGCGGGCCATATCGACGGAGAAAACTGTAGCAAGCATATGTTTTGTGTACCTAATAAACTATGTATAAGATTGGCCGGTGTGCATTATTGCTGCTTATATGTGCATATAGTTATATTGAACTCTACTGGAGCCCATCAGTCTAAAATATACTTGTGTTACACAAATTGTGTAATTTTATATTGGTTAAGAACCCGCACACGAGGTAGTAAAAGTATTGCATACCATTTGGTATTTTGGTTAATATTTGACCCTGTGACCTCGTGACAGACACATTATTTACTTTATATTATACATTTTTACCCAAGCTGGCTTGTAGAAACCTTGGACCAACACGGCTATCAGTACCAATGGCGTGTGCGACCTCATTGACATCAGCCCCAGTCGCTTCACAGATTGCACTCATGGAATTAATACTTGATATACGCTGTGCTAGGAAAGCATTGGCTGCCTGTAATCAGATTGAAGTCAGTCAACAAGATACGTTGTTTTCATGACAGAGTATGCAATATGCACATGTAAAATACATTGTTTATACAAAATTAGAACAAGTGCTGCATACTTTAATTGCATCATATGTTAAAACACCATAAATATGCAATTCACAATTTGTGTCAGTATCCTGACTGATTTTGTGGTTCTAACAGCCACCCTAACTGCTATCCTAGCCTAATTATTGTGCTGTCTATAATGAGCTGACTGGCTTAATTTGTCTTTTAAACTGAGTATTATTGTCATCAATAATTTCAACTTATTCTTTGTGGTATTTACCAATGTTACTAATATGAAACATATTCAGCCACAATTTGGAGAAGCAGCAGTTAAAGCTAAAAGCTAGCTAAATGTTACACTTGGAATGCACTGTAATTGCTTTAACTGCTGATTTAAAAGCTTAACTGCCAATCTATATGTCACTCTAATAACTGATCTAACAGTTGATCTACCAGAATGTATTAATAGTTCAGTGTTCACATGCAGTTGCCTTGTGTATTGTACTGTACCTACATTTAGCATTTCACCTGTATATTATACTACCGTATTTATCCAGATAAGAGCCAATGCCCGGGCAATCGCCCCCCCCCCTTTTGATACAATAAAGGAATTGAGGTCATGTCCTGGCATACTCTTGACTTCCTTGTAGTCTGTTGTGATTCTGATAAAAATTCTTGAAAAATAATTGTCAATTGCGTAAAATGCAAAATAGCTGTGACAGCAAAATAAGTAATTTCGAGTTTTGCATTCAGAGCAGCAGATTCGCCGCTGTTTACGTAATTTACATTTAATTTTCAAGATTTTTATCTGAGTTATATTAGTAAACAAGTCTACAGAAATGTATATTAAAGCAGAAGCAGTAGTTCTTTTTTTGAAATGTGGCCCTGAAAAAAGTCGGCCGTTTGGTTTGTGCTTCCTTAGAAACGATTCAAGCAAATCTTACAGTATATGGAGAGCCGCGAAGCAAGTGTCGCATTTGTTCGGCTTTAGCGTCGTCGACAATGAAACCAATGTTGCAATATTGCAGCAACCCGTACCTGGGAGAGTGGTTGAAATAAAAAATTGTTGGCTTTATAAAATATTTGGTAGCAGCTTGCGGGTCCATAACTGGGGCCAGCAAATTTGCAATGTCAAATAGTCATGCCAAAGACTGCCAATTTTTTTTACCATCTTTCATCACAGCTATTTCTGTCATGAAAATTATTCTTCTGTCATTGGAGAAATAAAAATTGTTCCTATTTCAAGCCCACCGTGATATCCATAGTGAGACATTCAAACCTCCGGAACTTGCTGAATAATAACTTTCTGATAAGAAAACAATGTTGACTTGACCTCTATGATGAAACACTAGTAGTGATGTCATTCTTAGCCAATCAGTAAAGCAGATGCTTAAAGGTCAAAGATGATTGACAGACTGTAAACAAAAGTCTCGTTTGCCATTTCAGCAGAGTCATTTGCCGCAACCCCATTTTTCTTGTCTCTTTATTGTGATTAGACATGAATTAAAAGTACCAAGCTTACAGACAACAAAATCCAAATTGTGTGCAATGATATCGACAAACTTTAGGACGTAGTTGGAGGGATATTGTTTGATGGCGACAGTGACACCAACTTGGACTTTGCATACTTTGACGAAGATGGCGAGGAACTGAGACATTTTTACTATGTAAATTTGTAAATTATTATTGTTCTTGTATGACTGTTGATCTGGTATTTTGTCAAAACCGGAAAAAAAATTTACATAGCTTAACCCCTGATATTTTAGTTCATTTTGAGTTAGCGTATTGGACATGTTTGTCAGCGGGAATACCCTATATTCAAACGATTCTTCACTGTTGATTTCTGGTTTATTTGTCACATTATAAGCAATACATTTTTTTTTATTTCTAATGTTGCATATTGTTCATTTATTTCTGTTGCGTGTTTTCATTTGCCATTCCATCCCATGTCGCAGTTCGATCTGCGCGTTGTCAGTTTTCGCAAATTTTCCGTGTTTTTTTTTTTTTTTTTGTGCAGGGGCATAGGCCTAATTTTTGGCAATTTTCAGGACACAGGGCATCCAGAAATTAATTTGGAACTTTTCCCATTGATATGATGGCTACTTACCAACTTTGAAAGTTCTGAAGACCACGTATTGGTTTTGATAATTTTTATTTTCGGAATCCAGTTTTGATAAACTGATGACAAGGCATCAATAGCTTTGTATCCAGCCTCGCTCTGTTCGCCGCCTATTAGCACACGGTCAGGATTTATTAAATCATCAATAGCTGTACCCTCTGACAGGAACTCTGGATTAGAAAGAACCTAAAACACAAAGAAATCAAAACAGATATCTTAGAAAGATGAATAAATAAATAACAAGCACTGTATAACTCTA